CCCACTGGGAAAACCCAACCAGATGCCAACTGACAAGAGAGCTGGGAGATGCAGCCCTTTGTGGTCAGCCCTCAGGGCACAGAGCAGGGCAGAGACGTGGAGGATAGATCTTTGGGGACAAACAGAACAATCAGCACAAAAGCTTTGCAAACATTTAATGCCTGGATTGACAGTGGTCCTTTCCATCCATCCATCAGACGTCAGTCAGTACCCAAGGCACCTTGGCCCCAATGGGGAGTGGAGGCCAGCAGCACCCAAAGTCGATCATTTGTTTTCAGTGTGTTGTGACATATTGTAACTTCTGTATGCCTGGATAAATGGATTTATGGATTACAGTGTAACTGGTTTTAAGTAAAACAAAGTCTCACAAAATGGACAAATGCTTTATTAAAAGAAGTTTCTTAGGCTCTTGTGAAGAAACAGCAGAGTGAAGATACTATGATTGCAGACACAAAGGAACAAGAAAATTCAGGACTAACATGGCTCTTAGGAGACACTCTTCACTGGCTGCTTTAGACTAAATGATAAGATAACAAGATCTGACCAAAAATTGGCCAAGAAGTTCATAATGGTCAAAACTGTTTGCAATATGGATTTACACCCATTATTACTAACGATGATTCTCCTCATAAATGTTATGCTTTGAAATATTAGTTAATGATAGTACTGCCTGGCAGTACATCATAAATAAATACACATATATTGGGTTTATGCTTAAAAAATGTTTACTGATGGGATGGCTGGAGACCACCGGCTTAAACAATAAGCAAAGGCCTGAATTGCGGGGGTCATTGATTTAGTCATTATGTTTGTCTTTAGAGGTAGTAAGGCTACATGGTTTTCCTGCCTGGAGCACATAATGCAAAGAAAAAAAACAAAACAAAAGGAAAGTGGGCTTGTGAGTAATAATAACAAACGTTTATCTAAAGTTTATTCTGTGTTAAGCACTGTGCTAACAACACAGACACGGAACATATCAGTCATGTGAAATGTACACAGAACATATCACTCATGTGAAATGTACCAACTCAGTTACTCTGCACAGCAGTTCCATGCTGCAGGTGCTGTCATCATCCCTATTTTGCAGATTGGGGGTGCTGAGGCGGTCAGGGTTTGGCACAGTGTCCAGTACACGCGGAAAGAGGCAGCTCGAACCCGGGCAGGTTGGCTGCAGATTCTTTGCTCTTGATCTCTGTGTCTTGCTGCCTCTCTGGAGGAAGTAGGGACTCCTTGGAATAATTTTGAAATTAAGAGCAAAACAAAATAGTGAAGTCAAATTAAAACCATTGAATGCAAGTTTAAAAAGTACAAAGAAGGGGGAGCCACTCAAATACTCTTATGTGGGTTGAGTGACTGTACCCTTGCACTCTGTGGCATCTGCCAAGTATGATTTCTCAGGATGTGGTAGCTGGCTAACTGCCTCTTGTAGCCACTAGATTCTGCTCTCTCTCTGGTTTTCTCCCTTTCTCGCTTGCCCTCTGAGGCCTCCCTTTAGACTTTCCTTGCCTTTGTTCTCTTTCTAGGAGCTTGTATGTGTTAGAATTTGCCATGGGAACAGAACCAATAGGATGTATTTCTCTCTCTCTCCATCTCTATATAGATATATATAGTACCCCCCGGATATCTATATCTATATCTATATCTATATCTAAATAGATAGATATATAGATATATAGATATATAGATTTTATTCTATAAAATCAAACATTTTGTTTTTTAAAACCTATCTGTAGAGATTTATTTGTTTTAAGGAACTGGCTTATGCAATTGTGGGGCTGGCAAGTCCAAAATCTTCAGGGCAGGCCAGCAGACTGGAGACTGGAGAAGAATCACTGCTGCAGTTTTGAGTCTAGAGGCAGAATTCCTTCCTTTGGGGAAGGGGGAACTCAGTCTTTTTCTCTCAAGGCCTTCAACTGATTGGACGAAGCCCACCCACATCATGGAGGGTCATTTTTTTTACTTAAGGTTACTGATATAATGTTAATCACATCTAAAAAATAACCTCCACAGCAGTATCTAGTTTGGCATTTGACCAAACAGATGAGTACCATGGCCTTGCCAGGCTGACACATAAAATGACTCCTGCAGGGCTCCTTGGAGGGATCTGGGGTTCATTTGGGCTTCTGTTAGTTTCCTAGAAGACTGGCAGTGAGGCTTAGGCACTGGGACCCCAGGGAACACAGAGAGCTTTTGTTCCCTCCAAAAGGAAAATCTGCCCAAACTTAAGTGGTTTTTTGTTTGTTTTTTACTTTCAAGAAACCTTTGACACCACCAAATGGGCTTGGTGGTTAAGTCTTGATCTGTGACTCTTAAGCCATGGTGCCTGGCTCTCCAATTTCAAAGGAGGAGCTCCTGTCCATACTGATCCAGGAAGAGTACATGGTAGGCTTGTGTCTTATCCTACACTGTTCTCCTTCTCAGAAGCACAAACTCAGTTCTTCCCCTCTGAACTCCCCTGATACTTTGTCCCTCACTAGAGCACTTAGAACTTTGGATCATGTGTTGTAGTTGATATCCATTCTTGTGCCCACCTAGGGACCAGGTCGGTAAAGTTCTCCAAGAGCAAGGGCTGAGCTCACACTTCTGAATGGCTGCTCCAGTGGCCAGGACACTGCCACTTCATAAACATGGCTCATTGGCGAGAATTGGAAATGCTGATTTTTTTGTGATGCTTCTTGGGCAGAGATGTGATTGGTGTCAGCCTCAGTGAAGCCCCTGTAGAACGGGAGGGAGACAAGTTTACACCTACCCCGGGCAGGCTTTGCAGAGCCACGTATCTGGGCAGCAGAATAACTCACGCTGCTGAATTAGGCATTTGCAGACAGACCCTCACTCGGGGTGGGATGGGGGACATGCACCAGAAGGGTCAGTGGGAATTTGTCTGATGGGGCAGAGGTAGAGTATCTGTCGGATTCACTGTCTTAGTTTCCTGTATGACTGTCACAAATTACCACAAATTTAGTGGCTTAAAACAACCCAGATTCAGCAGAGGTTCAGAAGTCTGACAGAGGTCTCACTGGGCCAAGGTGAAGGTATCAGCAGGGCTGTTTCTTTCTACAGGCTTTAGGGAGGATTGTTTCCTTGCCTTTCCCAGAGTATACTCATTGCTTTCATTCCTTGTTTTTTGGGGGAACTATTACTCTGCCCACCATAGTAGCTTCATGATTTCCATTTAAAATAAGCTATTAGTGTAAGATATGCTTTTTAATGAAAAGGTATAATAATTTCACTACCTTTAACAATGTTAGAGGTTTTTTTAAAAAAGGGATTTTGAGATATATTTATGTTTAATTTACTGAATTTGTAAGTTATTAATTTACTAAGGAATATCTTGCTTATTAGAGTTGATGCTTCTCTGAGCAGGTATTTGGACTGCTTATAAAAAAGCAAATGCATTAGAGTTACAACTGCCGCTTTAAAATGTTTAAAGGACTTTTATTGTTTGTAAAAGGGACTTGTTTAGTCTGTTCAATTTGAGTTTATCAAACAGTAATAAAAGGCTTTCTTATTTTGTATGAATATTTACTAGACTTACTGAGATTCGGTTGAACTTAAAAGAAACTTTAATGAACACTAGGTCTCCACATTGGTTACTTTTTTAACTACCATTAATTTTTAACCAAGAAGCTATAAATAGTTCTATGCACATGATTCTTATTCTAGTCCAGGGTAAGTCTGTGGTTATAAGTGAGCCTTTCAAAAATATTTTATGAATATATGTGTGGGTTTATTAATTCATTCAGCCCTGGCACTGTGCTAGGTACAAATAAGATTACAGTGTAACAAAGTCCATGTGCAAAAAAAGTGTTACAGAAGATGAGATTTACTCAGTTGGAGGAGGCTTCAGCCAGGAGGTGGTTCTAAGGAGCAAAAAGATGCTTACCAGGCGGAGGGGCAGGGGAAGAGCCGTTCTAGGTGGGTGGAACAGCCTGAGCAAAGAATGTATGGGATACTTAGGGAATGATGAGATTTTGTGATCTTGTTGGGAATTAAAAAAAAAATCTCTAATTATTCTCAGGTGTCTTGTATGTCACATTCTGGTGGAGACTTAGTGGCAGGATCAGGGCGTGTTCCAGAGTGCATGTGTTGAGTCAGTCAGTCACCCACAAGGTAGTCACCTGAGCAGATCACACCCAACTGGGAACGCGGCGCAATTCCTAACCGATTCTCAGGCTCTTGTTGCTCAAGGAACTGTAATTGTTAACGTTTGTTGAGCTCTTATGATGTGTCTGGCTCCAAACACCTCACCTGAACTAGTTCACTTATCCCTCACAGCCATAAGAGATAGGTTTACTATCAACATTTTGGAGTTGAGGACATTGAGACAGAGAGAGGTTAAGTAAGGTGACAAAAGTCACATGGCGGGTAAGTGGCAGAACCGTGATGTGAACCTTGCACAAGCCGTTACCTCTTTCTGGAATGCTCATGATCTCATCTTCCGAGGCCAGCTCCTTTTCACCATTCAGGTCTCAGCTTCAACATCCCTTCCTCAGAGAGCCCCTGTCCCCCACCCCCGCCTTGCTGCTCTGCATCTCAGCCCTTGTTTATTCCCTTCATAAGAGTTTATGACAAATTAACCTTGTCCCCTACTTTGTTTTCTTTCCCACAAGAATCTAGATTCCATTAAGGCAGGGACCTCATCTGTCAGGTTCACCATCCCGTGCCCAGAGCCTTGCACAGTCTAGTGTAAAATAGCTGTTCAGTAAACATCTGTTGATGAGGACATTGGTATTGACTTTAAAGTTCATTATTCCCTAATCATTCTACTTTATGAACAGTAAGTGGAAATATCTATCCCTTTTATGGACGCGTAATGCTGTATTTCTGACTCAGGTTGGTACTCAGCAGCAAGCTTATTTTTCTATGTATTCCTAGAAATTTTACAACAACGATAAGTTTCGGGGGGAAGAAATGTAAGTCTCACTCAGCAAAAGATAAACACACTCAGTTTGATAAGAAGCCAACTTGAACTGACGCACACCAAAAAATGCACCAGTGTGTGTTGTTGGAAAAACATTTTATTGCAATTCAGTGTCAAAAAAATTTTTACAAAAATATGCCACTGTCTGGTACAAACAACTATAAAAAAATCAGTTCATCATGCAAGAAGAGGGTGCAAATAATTTATACAGAAGGACTCAGCCCACACAATATTAAATAAACATCTTTGCATGTAATTGGTCTAACCTTATACTTTTAGTTACAATGTCCAACCCTCTATAGTATTTTTCATTTAAAAAAAATACATTAAAGCTTCTAAGCTTAGGATTTGGACTTTAATATATACCCCCTTTAACCAGGGTGATTGGCACTTGGTAGAATAAAGATGGCGCCAAGAGTTCTCAAGTGTAGAGCGCTGCTTAGAGCTTTCTGTTTAACAGACTTGTGTATCGTTAACAAAACAAACATTTCTATACTCAAAGACAGAAAAAGTCATATTCAACCTCCAGAAGTAAAGTTGTAGCAGATGGAGTTTCAAGAAGTTTAGAGTTTTGAAGCAGCCATCCATATTTGGCCAAATGGAGCAGGGCCTAAGTTTTGAGAGATCTCTCAGGAAGCTTTGTTTGCTGAGTTCAAGGACACTTTGAAAAATGCCTAGCAGACAAAGTCATGAATATCGTGGTCCCTTGCTCCTTGCTGCCTTGTGAAATTATCCCCCTTTGCTTGGTGAAGGTGAGGTTTAGCAGAAAGTGATCTTCTGGAAGCTCACTGGATCTCACTGCAGGTACCGGAGGACCAGTAGATGGGAGGGGTGGATTAAATGTACCTCTTAGTCTAAGGGGAGAGGAAATACCTACTTGGTTACCATCAGAACCTCAGTTTCTAGAAAGCAAGCCAGCTGCTCAGCCGTTACCTGTCTCAGGGGCTACCTTTATAATTAAAATCTAAGTACCCAGGGGAAAATGCATTTATCAAAACATGTTGCTTACTTTAGAGCAAGCAGATTGTACTCACTAGTATGCTGTACTCACAAAAGTTCTGTAAAATCATTAAGTGGCTCCTTAACTTCTCCAGGAAGAATCAGGGACTTAAATGTTTGGAAAAATTAATGGCCAGACACCTAACAGTGGATATAAACTTGCTGTCCCACAGTGAAGGTCTTGAGAAGAATCAGGTCAGGTGTCCTGGGTGTCCTGCCACAACTAAAGGTGCTGGGGCAGGGGGCACAAAGTCAAGCCTCAGAAAGTTCCAGGTTTACGCTTAGGTCCACTGCTGAGTACCAGGTGGGCTGAAGCACGTCCCCTAAATATTCTGGACCCACTACCTCATCTTGAAAGGCAGAGGAGTGCCAGACTCCAGCATCTCTAGCCTCCCTTCCAGCACTAAAGTCTGGGGGAGAAGTTTCCTTCCTTTGGAAAACCACGGAGGGTTGACTCTTCTTAATAAAACACAAAAGAAAGCATCCACAGAAAACGCTAAGTGTAAAGGAATTACAATTTTGTTTGTTGAAGACATCAGGGGCCCAAGATATATCAAAAAGCCCCATCTCTGTGTTTGCTTAGAGGTTCAGGGTGTTTCTGAGGTCTGTTTAAACACTAATAAGGTTTTAGGCCAGCATCCAGTCAGAGGGATGTTTCACAGACTTAGAGAATTGGAAACAGATTAAAAACAACAATAACAAAAAACAGCCGATGTCAACATAGAAAATGATGATAGAGTTTAGTTTAAAAAAAATTCACACATTAAATTACAGTTAAAAAAATTCACACATAAAATAGAGTGTTTGCATAGCAAGACATTATGGCCCTACAGCCTGGCAGAAAAATATAAACTCAGGTGCATATTTTATGATAAACATTGTATTGAACGCTAAGCATGATATACTGTTGAAATGACTGAACTTCTTGTAAATCACACCACTTGCTTAGACAAATGAAATTCCAAGCTCTTTCTCTTCTCCCACATAGAGACAACGGAAAACAAGGAGCCTCTGTTAATTGCAAGCTCCTCTTGAAAAATAGTTTTTCAATAGAGAACTGTGGCGATAACGCAACACACGCTCCTTACCTTCCTTCATCATTGCCAAGGAACGCCCGGTTCTTGCTGTAACAGTTTTGCAGTGTCAACCCAGCCCATCCAAAATATCTCCTCTGAGCCACCTCAACAGAAAATTGATCATCACTAAACAAAGGTCCTCTCCCAACTGACCTTTCTGAAATGGGGGATGCCTTTACCTTGTAGTTTGTGCCACCATCCTCCCACGTGACTGATCCGTCTGCACTGAGTAATAATAACGCGATCTAGTTTAAAATGTCTGGATCCTGCTATGAAGTCTGCCCTCCTAGGCTTTCGCAAAGTCTCCTTTCCGCAAATGCTGTGCCTGATTCTCAAGAAACTGTGGGATCATTGCTCAGAAACCTCTGAGTTGAACCAAGCCATGACACCCCAGTGGATCTGCTCCCACTGCCCTGGACAAAGCTCTTTGCTTCCCTGGAAGTCCAGGTTACGTTCATATTTGACATCAATTTTGAATTCTGCTTTATAGGGTTGGGGTGGGGGTAGGTAGGTACAGCAAAGAGAACAGAGTGTCCTGTCCCTTCTGGCTTTTAGGCCAGCAGTTCTGAGACAGGGATTCTTTGTTTTGTTTTTTAGGTCAGGCTGTCCTGGAAGGGTTTACCACTAGACATTCTATAGACGATTAGTGCCCAGGGAATAAGTGTTTTCTTTTTAACTTTACTAATATGTAAGGCTCTGGCCATACTTCACAGCTACCCCATGGCACCAACTCAGATGCTCACACCCGCCGCCCTCACACAAACCATAGCGTCAAAGACACGCCCCTTCTACTCCTTCCCCGCTCCCTCTCCACCTGCCAGTTCCTTCCTCATTCTCCTCTTCTAAAGAGAGGGAACCACAATTGATGGTTTCTTCTTTTCTTTTCCTTAAACATTCTCCTTGACTCTTGTCACACACTACCTCCAATTACACCAAAGGAGATGGGGAGAGTCCGGAGGCACCATCTGGGTAAGCGTTTCAGAAAACCACCAGCCTGTCCGTTGGGTGGGGTCGTGGTGCACAGATGCTCCCGCTGCCTGGGGTGGGCTGTGCAATCCTGAGCACCGCCGGCAGTCCATGTGACACTGGTTCGCTCGTTTCATGCTGACCGTCAAAGCAGGCAACATTTCTGGGGCTGCAAACCTGAAGGTGCTGAGGAGACTCCCCTGGCTTGATCAGCACGAAGAAGCAGATGAGTTGGGGGCAAGATGTGGAGGGCCATGAAGGCCTAAAAATGCCAGAGTCAAAGGTGCCAGAGCTCTCACAGCAACGACAAAGCCAGCTCCCCCCACATCTTGCAAGAAGCTGAGACCTTTAAGAGAACATGCCTGAATTATGGAAGAATGAGCTTTTTAGTTCACAGTCTGGACTCTGCATTCTCAACATGACCTTGTTGAGGGAGGGGGTGGGGTGCAGGGAGGAAAGGGGGCAAAAAAAAATCCCCGTTACATGTTACAGTGGTTCGTGGCCCTCCAAAACTCAACCTTACCCAACGAGATCTTATTCTTTAATATTTACTTTTTTTTCCAGAACTGAAGTTCAATTTACTTTTTTCTTCTTGGGGTGGGGGGAGGTGATAATGAAAAACGAGACCGAGGAACCCTGGAGGAGGCACAGACCTGGCAAAGCGTGAGGAATAGCGACCAACAGTCGCGTTTTCTTCCGAACGCTGGTACTTGGGTTGTGCTTTGAGGGAAGGGCATGAAGGGCTCCTACATCACTAGCTGGTCCCTTGGCTTGTTTTTGTACGTTCTTAACCATCTTTCCTGATCCAGGTCACCCCACAAGTTCAACCCCTAAGAATACACTGTTCTTCAACGTACATGTGAACTAATTTCCTATTTCTGCTTCATTTACTTGCCAAGGTCACGCAGGGTGGCCACTGTATTTACAAGAAAAAAAAAAGGAAAGCAGTTACAACTGCAAAAAATATGTACATTGTGGTAGAAAAGCAGAGTTCTATAAAAAAGTAAAAAACAAGAACATCCCCCATTCCCTCCCAGGAATATTGACTCCTTAAGTCCTGAGATTTCCATCTTCCACATAGTTACCTGCGGGTGTCTGCCGAGCAGGCTGCCCTGGGGCATGGAGCAAATTCAGGATGAACTCACGGCACCTCTGCTCCCTATCCGGCTGGAACTCCAGGCTTTACTTTATCATCCTTGCAAGAAGCCCTAGCTCGGGTTGACTAAATTTTGAAGTTAGGTGTAAAGAAAACTCCTCAACTCATCACCCAGCAAGAGGAACAGCAGCTGATACGTAAAACCTGTTTTACAAGCCTTTATCAGCACGCTGGCTCCAAACAGCCCCCAGAGATAGGCTTATCCGTGAAGATACCCAGGGACCCAGACAAGGCCAGAAGTGAAACAGGAATCAGAAAGTCTTCACAGCTATTGGGTGACTAATCCCATCTTTTCTGTGGCAGGAATTTCTCTGGGATTGTTTTTAATTGATTGGCCTTATGTTGCCCCGAATGAGCTACAACATGAAAAGGAAAAAGGCGTGTGTGCTTTGGGGTTGTTCTAGAAAAAGAGGCAACCCCAGAGTGCCCCATTTGTCTAAAAAGGAAGTCTGACATATGATGAGGATTGCCTCCGGTATCTCTTCCTGCTTTGAATCACTTTTTATATGATGAAGAAACAAGAAAAACAGATACTGCCTACTGGACAATGCACTTTGTCAGAGCGAGCATTGTAGCTTTCCGAGGTAGACTATTGTGTGATATCTTCAGAAGATAAGGCCCTGTACCCATGCGGGTTTAAGATGAGTGGTACTTCCTTTGTCTTTTCAAAACAAACCCCAAATCAAAACCAAAAGCCCAGGGATTTCTCATAGTAGTTCTTCTTCTTCTTTCCAACACGTTTTCACATTGTAAACAAAGAGCCTTCTATCTTGCATTTGAGTTTTGCCCCCCTTTCTTCCACATCTCTAGGGAACTATAAAGGAGTTTCAGTGAACAGCAAAAGAATTCCATTTTCACTGATGAAATAGAATTCCTGCCCTTATAGTCTTGCTGGCAAATCATTAGGGGAAAAAGTTTATTTACAGGATTTCTGCTTTTTTATACCAATTCTAATGAGAAGTCCATATGCTGAAATTCCCAGCCAGCAACTGCATCTCTCCCCTCCAATGTCCTGTCAATGACTTATCTTAGAAGTTTCGAGCCAGTGTTTAAAATGTACACTATTTACAAACGAAGTGTCCAAACTCTGTATTCACAACCATCCAATCAGCAGGGGAACCCCTTCTAGGGTGCTGTCGTGTGTTGGTATTCAGAACTTGAACAAGTTGATAAAGTCCTGGGGTGAAAGTGAAATGGAGCAGCTCTCAGGGTTATTGGCTGTGCACGGGTGATCGGTGCCCTGGAAAGGAACATCACGGTTAGGTGGGAGTTCTCGGCGGTGTCTCACTGGCTTGTAGCACTGTAAGGCACTGTCCAACCTCAAAACAACATTCCTCTGTCATGAATGCCATGCACTATGGAAAAATTGAAGGGCTGTGCGTGCGTGTGTGTGCACCTGTGCACAGAGAGATGGGGAGTTTGGGGGTGAGTGGGTTGCAGAAAAAAATAAACACAAGGGAGTGAAGGCAATGAAGATCTTTAAAAGTTCCTCTCTCTAGGGACTGAATCAGTTTATCTTCACCTTCAGCTGGGGGCTACAGTAGTGGAGAGCAGGAAAGACAATATCATGCTGGCGCTATGGGCTTGTAGGGGCTGGGCTGGGGGTGTGTGACAGCTACCTCTGATACACCTACCTTCCAGGAGAGAATGTGGCAGTGTCTGCAAAGCTGAAGGGTGTCTCCGTACTGCTCCTTGCGTGGGTAACATCGCACAAGTTTAAAATACATCTTCTTCCAATCCAGCTGTCCTTTGTCTGACAAAATTAATCGCTTGCGGATCTGAGTATCAGAGAAAGAAGAGGGAGGGTATAGCTCAGTGGTAGAGTATGTGCTTAGCATATATGAAGTCCTGGGTTCAATCCCTACTACCTCCATTAAAAAAATTAAAATAACCACATAAATAAACCTAATTACCTTACCCCTGCCAAAAATTTTTTTAATTTTAAAAAATTTTAAAAAATTTTTTAAATGTCAAAGAAAAGTAGTTCTGGAAAGTTCTGCTCCTGCTCCCTTTCCCCCTTTTTCATCTATTCCCTGGCAATAGCTCAGGGAAAAATAGCAAAGATATAAAGAAGTAGCTTCTGAGTTCTACCCAGGGAAACAGTAGCTTTTAAGCACTCTTAAAAGAAACAGGTGGCTGGTGACATCTCACGGGCAACTTCTACTTAACTGCATTTGGATGGCCCTGGAAGGTTTAGGCGGTCTCAGTAAACAGCTTCAATCTTCTCTTTGCTATAGACTTGAGTGATTATTTCCAGGGAGAGGCAGTGACTGCTTGGCACAGTGGCTCTATTTTATATCTAAATATTAGTGGCTTCCTGAACAGAACTTGTTGAACTTACACTTCTGGATAAAGAAGTTGGGAAAAAAAAAATCTGAGGCAGCATGAGGAGGGGAGAGAGGCCTAGAGCTGGGGTCAGAAGGCCCAAACTGAAATCCAAGGCCAGTTTCCTCGCTTAGAGAGCACTCCACTAATTGGGATGTATCACTTAGCCACTTGTGGCCTTAGTCCTTTCATCTGTTTAAAGTGAGCACAACGATAGCTAACCTTCCCTGGGTCATTATATGAAATAATATCAGTAAAAGTAGTTTAGCTATAATATGTCATAAAAGTGTAAGTTACTTTGTTATAGAAAAGAAGGACTGGTGCTAATTTAGGATTTTTTTTTAACAGCAAGCTGTAAAATGGAATATGTTAAGAATACGTTTTTTCCACGTATTGAAACACAAGAAAAATCTCACACGTTTTCTTTAGAAACTCCTTGGACTATTGTTTTTCAGTTAAACCAGGAAGCCCTGGAGGGTGGGCTCCAATACTTCAAGCTTGAGAAGGATGCCAAGGAAGCTTGAGGTGGGGGCAGAGAGGGAGAGAAGGAAGGAATGGCTGCTGGGTGCCACCCACCTGCCGCTCGGAGAAGTGGTACTGGCAGAGTTTCTTCCATAACAGCCGGTCCTCACTGAGCACGTGCAGGTCGGGGGCCACCTGGCCCAGACTGACCAGGTCGCGGCCATCGCTCAGCCTTTGCATGATGTTTAGTTGTAAGCACAGGGGCAGATCGGTGAAGGTGAGGCCTTTGAAGGCAGGCTGAGGGGGAGAGGGATTCAGTTAAGAGAAGAGCAGTTCACCAGGCGACACCCTCACACCCTCCAAGGGGACAGCTGTTCCCTCATCCTCCAGCTGTGCAGTCCTGAGCACAGCTCGAGCTGGTTTATTGATCAGAGATCAAAAGCATCAAATCTCCCTGCCCTAAGTGCAGAAAAAGGACCCATGGCTGAGACCCAGAAAGAACAACCTGGAGTGGCTCCAGCTGATGGTGCCCGAAGGATATTCCTAACTTGCACAAAACTTTACACTTTTTAAAAAAACTGAAACGTAATTGACTTACAATCCTATGTTTCAGGTGTACTACCTAGTGATGTGACATTTGCATACATTATGAGATGATCAACAATATTCTAGTACCCATGTGTCCCCATATAAAGTTATCACAGTGTTACTGACTTTGTTATTGTTATTCCTTACGCTGTGTATTACATCCCTATGGCTCATTTATTTTATAACTGGAGGCGTGTACCTCTTAATGCCCTTCACCTATTTACACTTTAAAGATTCTCCTAATAGCACATACTGGATTCTTGTGCTTCAGTCGGTTATGATATTTGCTGCCTTTGTGAAGGACTCCTTGCCCTGGAGAGAGCACCCCTAGCCCCAGTCTCAGTGCCTGCCCCCTTGTGACCACTGATCCCTTCAAGCAGGTTTTCTCCCTGGCCCCCAGACACGCTGCCCACAAGGCCCTCACTCTCCGCAGTCAGTCGTCTCTGCCCATCCAAATGTGATTCTTCCTCGGATGCAACAACTTCCTTTATGTTATGAAATGCAACCCATCTCCAAAAGAAAGCTTGAATGAACAAGAAAGCTTGAATTCCTACTAGAATTTAAGCTCATGGAGGCAGAAAATGTTGGTTTTTTTTTCATTGCTATGTCTAAAATAGTCTAGAAGCATGTTGGCGTATAGTAGGCACTCAATAAATACTTGTGGAATGATGCAACTCAAATAATTAAATAGGTAAAAATAGCAACAACAGAAAGACTCTACTGGGTGTGTGTGTGTGTGTGTGTGTGTGTGTGTGTGTGTGTGTGTGTGTGTGTGTGTGTGTGTGTGTGTGTGTGTGTGTGTGTGTTTGCACGTGCGTACACACGCATATGTGCCTGCATTGGGAATGGCTGGTTAAGAACCTTTCAGCCTAAACTTCATTATCCATTGAGGCATCTCTGTTCAAACCAAGGGCTCCATGGAACATTTTGAAAACTATTCGTCTGTGGAGAACACATTGGCAATTAATCATGAGATTCTCCAGAAGCTTCTTCTACTATATCCTTGAGTTTATATTTGAGCCCTTTATTGTTTAAATTTTGATGAGCTCAGGGGATCCCACCCAGACCAGGATCCTTGAAGGCAAGGTCTCAGCTTGGATCCCTCAGCCCAGCACAAAAACCCTCTTCTGAGTGCCTCCTAGGCCTGCAAGGGGCGAGAGACCCAGAAATGTAAACAAATAATTATAGAACAAAGGTTAAATGCCATCAAGAAGATTAGCACAAAGAACTCTGGGAACAGTCCGTGCAGAAGGTCCTCCTTAGGATTTGTTGCTATTTCTTGAACAGCAACTGGATGCTGCCATCTGGATAAGAAGTCAGCACAAATCGCTCGAGACTGGTTCTTTGTCCTTCCCATGCTAGTCCTGGGTGAGCTCTTGAATTTGAACTACTGACATTTTTGGCTCAGTGTTCTATCACTTCTGGAGGTCACACACACAAAAAAAATACAGGATGAAGAAACCCTTCCTTAGCTCGGGGGAAAATAAACTCTACGAGGCACAGCAGAGCCAGAACACACAGGAATATAGGAGACACGCGGTCTCAGCACCCCTCCTGCGTCCCCGCAAAGCAGGACAGGTGTGCAGAGGGAAGGAGGGTGGTGGCGGGCGCTGTGGGCAGGTGGAACATGGAGAAGGATGGGAGGCAGGACACGCAGGACACGCAGGACACGGGGTGGACAAGCAGCAGATTTTAATCCCAGGTGTCCTTGGGAAAACCTGGGTCTCAATTTCCCTGTGTCCAGAATGAACTGGTTTCGAAGACTCTGGAGATCCCTTCTACCTCCAACAATCTCAGACTTGGAGTAGCTTCAGCCTCCAGACTCGTCAGAAGCGTCTACGATTTGACAATTTATGTTGTTCAGGCTGCTGGGCTGAACTTTCAATTGTTTGCAAAACTCAGGACTTTGCCGGACTTTGCAGAAGGCCCTAGACCTATTTGTCATTTATCATCTGCTGCTGATCATATGAGCCAATAAAACTGCCATGAGATTTTCTTTTTGTTTCCAGCACTTCAAAGCATCTACTTTTTTGGTTAAAACTCCCAGGCCAATTATTACATGAACTCCTATTAAAGTCCACTTGGCAGAATTCACTCTCAAGTTTTCAGACCTGAACTTTTCCAAAATCCTTGCCCAGACCCCATGCTGAGCCTTTCCTCCTGATAAATGGTTAACTGCTAGAGTGCTTTTTTTCTCTTTGAATATAAACATGTAAAAGAAAAAGAAGTCACTCTTGCTCCCCTCTATCAAGTGTTTGGCTAAAATCCTTTTGTATTCACTCTGCCTGCCTCCCCACTCCCCACCTCCCCCACTGCCTGTGCTTCCAAACCCTTCCTTGCTCACGGCACACTGTGATTCTATTCAATTTTTCCCCCTATAAGCCAGCTTTCTTAGTTTTTTTTTTTAACTCCCTTCATTCTTTATTATATTAATTATTTTTGCCAGTAAAAATTGGCTCCATAGAATTAGATAGGAAATTTTGAAGGCAAACAAGATTATGTGCTGGGAAGATACTGATAGAACTTTGGCAAATAGAAAGCAATTAATGTAAATGTCACCTTAACATTTTCATGTAATAACTTACTTCTCTTTGGTCCAAACTGTTAAAAAGTAAGTATATTTTAAAATATAGTCCAGACTGAAGTAATTAAGTCTCTCTCTCTCTCTCTCTCTCTCTGATCTTTCTTTCCTCTGGAGAGTTGGGAATTTGTGTAAAAAGCTCTTCAGGTCTCTGTGGGTTCCCAGCACTGCTCTCAAAATAATGTAGCTCAGAGCCAAGGAGGGTTGGGAAGGAGGGCATGAGGGAGGAGAGTGTGCTGGGTTAAAGCACAGCCTCTAAGGACAGGCCTGGGTTCAGCCCCCTTCTTACCGGTGGGGAGGCCCCGGCCAGATTATTCTTAACTACTCGGTCTGATTTTTCTCATTTATAAGATGAAGAGAAGCGTATCTTACAGTGTTGCTGGTGGAGTGGATGAGACAGTGCATAGAAGTACTGAGCATAATGCCCAGTAAATATTAGCTATTATAATGACTCCTACTTAGAATTATTCACTAGATGAGTTAACTCATACAGTAAAGGACTTAGCAGAGTGTCTGCCACAGAGTGAGCCCTGAAAAATAAGAACAGCTGATGCATTTATAATACTTATTACATGTCAGGCACTGTTCTCTCTCTATGTTAAATTATTAAATCTCACACCAGGGCTGTGTGCTAGGCATGACTGCCTCTATTCTCCAAGTCAGGAAAGTGAGGTACAGAGAAGGTGAATAGCCCCAGATCCTGTGGTTGGTAAATTTTCATACTCATCTGAGGTGAACTTCAGTATTTAATCTGTCCTGCATGGGATTTCATTGGATTTAAAAGGCTTGCAAAAAGCTGGGTCATTGAATAAATAGTTGGAAGAGAGCTGGTTTGAAAAAAAAGTTTGGAAACCACTGATGTTTCAAGTTTTGCCATTTTAGGAATAAGGAGTCCAGGGTTCTGGTCTCAGCTCTAGCCCTGATTGCTGTGTTACTCGGGGAAAGTCACTGAGCTTCTCTGATCCCCATTCTACCCTCACCCCCATGAAGGGTAATGGCAACTGCAATGAGTACCTCCTAGGAGAGTTTGTAGATCAACGAAGGAGAGCTTTGGGGAAATAAGCCCATGGAAATCCAAGATACGTGGGCAGATGTGGCCAAGAGGGGCTCCTGTGAGGTGGACAGAGAGAACAGAGGCAGGTTCTGGTCACGTGACCACCCAAATAGGTGTTCCAAGTTGCTGGAGGGAAGATGTCCTTGGGACAAGTGGGACTTGCTCATTTATATCACTGGCTGACTATCACTGGTGTACGTGTGTGTATGTGTCTGTATGTGTATGTGTACGTACTGTAGCATAAGTGATTCTAAGGAAGTCACATAACTCTGAGGCTTCTAATTATTCCCTCTGTTTCAGAGTCTATAAAAAAACTAAGGCTCAGAAAGGTTATTAACAGTGAAGTCAAGGACCCTGCATTTTGCAAACTTCATACAGTGAAACGCTTATTTAAAAGCGGTCAAAGAAGTTTTTTCATGTTACTTTCTCGAGAGATGGGGCAGATCCAAACTTTATCAGCCTGGGTCCCGGAACCACTTAAAACAGCCGTGGTCAGTGATTAGATTAAGTCAGCCAAGTGCTATGTGAGCTGCCTAAGTGCGTCTGTCCATTAGGGAGCCTTAAGAGATTACACCAGCATCTTTCCCACATTGGCGTGTACGTGTGTGTGTGTATGCGTATGTGTGTGTGTGGAGGGCCTTAGTCCTCCTGCTCACTATTAAGACAACAAAAGCTGAGGGCCAACTTACGCTTTAAAAGCCAAAAGAAGCTACTGATAGTAGTTTAGCTGGTAATATGGTGGAGGGGTGGTTGGTTGGTTTGCTTTAAGTGAGAACTTTTCTTTTCCTACATGTATGTTTACAGTCTTTACTCAAAGGCTTCCTTTGTCATAACCATAAATAATTGGAACTAGAGTTCTAAGTGGTTGATACCAGTTCTCCAAGCCACTGCCATCATAGCTCTGTTGTATTCAAGGCAGCATCCTAAAACTATAAACAATACGTACTTTAAGAAGAAATGGGCAAAGGGGAACGATCTCCAGATGCTACTAAAGGTTTCAGGGTCACGCCCCAAAGGTCAAATTTCTCATTTTCCCACCACGTTTCAGTTGGCTGCCATCTTTCCATATACTCAGATCCTGCTCTGCCAAGTTCTTCTTCCCACCTTCCCTTTATTAGAAAGTCCCCCAGCCCATCCTCAGCACCAGTTTAAAGTATCAGATCAGAACAGTCCAGACTCTTCTATCACCAGAATGGTTTTGAAGTCCTGGCGGGGCGCTGGGTGGGGGTATAGCTCAACGGTAGAGTGTGTGTTTAGCATGCATGAGGTCCTGGGTTCAACCTTCAGTACTTCCATTAACCAAAAAGAAGAAAATTAACAACAACAAAAAAAAGTCCTGGTGAGGCCACCCAGCATCTCAGCAGAGGAATCGACGGAAGCCGTTCCTGCTGGGAGGAAGCTAGGGTGGGTGCTCCGCTTACCCTGGTAATTTGGATGTTGTTCAGCTGCTGCTGCCAGTGTAGAATCGTCTCCATTCGATACACCCACATGTTAATGTTCCCGACCAGCACAGACTTGCCCACTCTTTGGACCAGAGTACACAAGGACGTGTAGAGGGTCTGGAGTAGTTCCCGTATTAGTCTAATGTTTTGCTGGTCTTCAAGGACTTGAGTGGGGAAGAAAAAAAAGTAGCAACAGTTACGATACCGGAACACTCCGTATTTTACAAGTGGTTCTTTCTTCTTCTCTATTCTGCTCGTGTTACCAGGGTACGCTCCCTGGGGACGTGGTTGTCTTTCTCACTGGTGTTTATTCCACACTTGGCCAAGCTTCTGCACTCGAGGTTATTGGGTAGAATTTCCATGATCTAGGTCCCTCTTTGTTCTCTCCTCTGTTTTCTGCAAAGACTCTTTCTCTCTCCATTGTCCCACCAGCCCCAATGGCTCACCTGATCTGAAAGCAGTTTCTTTTTGCCCAGCTGTGATGTCTCTTTTAGGTGATCAGTGGTAACAGCACAGGTTTGGGGGGTCGGGAGCTTGGATTCTAGTCCAGTCTGGCTGACTCTATGTGATTACAGATAACTCACTCTTTTTCCCGTGTATACAATGAGTCAGTTGAGCCAGAGATGTAAAGTTCCTTTTAGCTCAGTGAGTCTATGAATCTATTCTGCCTTGTACACAGCTCAATTTTTAAGAATTTGAAATTCAGAGGTTCGGTAGCCAAGGCTGGGACATGTGCCTACACTGAGAAGCTTGAGAGGCTTACAGCAGGGCAAGTGGATGATCCCAGCACAAGGACAGGAGGGTGGTGGTCTCACCCTCTGTCGTCAGCATGAGTGGCAGTCCTTTCTAAACCGGAATCTGGCATCCCCGAAATGCGTCTGGAGTCATTCATTTCCATCCACTCACATTCGCTTAAGTCTAGTGACACGTCCACTCCATTGGAAAATCCATCTGCCCAGCCCCAGGCCTATAAAAAGGGGTGAGAGAGTGAGATAGAGCTCACCTTTCAGTACCACTTTTTCCAAAATGTTCATGAAGTTCTTTTGGGCAATGCCACTCAGGGAAGTGAGCTGTGACTTTGCTATCAGTTCCAACAGCTGTGGATAAAAATAGAAGTCGCCAGGCTTAGAATACAGAGATATTTTTCTCCTCTAATCTTCACTTTTGAGTCACATGACACGTAGATACAGACTGACGAGGAGAGAGAAACGGCAGGCAGGGCCACAATGCAATAAAAAGCAGATGCTCCGAGCGAAAGACAAATGGGGGTAATTCAAAGCCTAGGAATCAGGCTGAATAGTTGATTGCTTTTTTTTCTTTTAAATATAAAGAGTTTGGCTTCAGCCAGGGCTAATTCATTCTACTTGTCCTGCTCCAGCAAGGGAAGCTGAGGTTCTCTGAAGGGAACAAAACCTCCTGTGACCTGCAAAGGTTTGAGGTCTATGAAACCAGTCCCAGTGGAAGTTCTATCCCCACTTGAACTTCTCCCCACTGGCTATGACTGCTCTCAAAGCTCCTAAACGCTCATGTTCAGCAACAGTGTGCACTTTTCAAGGAAGTGGCAATCATCCAGATATCCCCTGCTTTGCAGCGTTAATAAAAATGTCTATTAATTAGAATTTTTCCTTGCACGTAACCTTCTGTAGAAAGAGGCCAATAACAGGAAGAGGGAGAAATGAAGGGATGTATAGTGTATACTCGTATTTCTAGCCTCGTAGCTCTTAGCCTTACGTGCAAGTCTTGATTTGATGACTTATTAGTTCTGTGACTCTGGGCAAATTCCTGAGTTTCTTGGTGCCCCACTTTCTTCATCTGTACTTGTACTACTTAGAGTCTCCAAGACTTGTGAGACCTTTAAATGAGGGAGTGCACACAAAGCCCTTGGCACAGCCTGGCAGAAATTAGGTAGAAAATAAAGGTTGGTTTGTTTACTGAAGGAGTATGTCCCATCCCCACCATCCACGTTATCCTCAAACAAAAAGAAATAAATAATTTACGTTGGTGCACCCTTAGTTTAATCCTTCTTCTCCTCAAAAGCAAAATTCTTTATAGATGAGGCAAGACTTTAAAAAAAAATCAAAGATTCTATTGTTGAAAAAATGAAACTTTAGACTGGAATGGAAGTCAGAGCTCCTGGAGTTCAACCCAGTTAGCAGATGAGCACAGTGAGGCTTAAGAGACTGAACTTAACCAACTAAGCTACAAGGAGTGAGAGGGGTCAGCAGAATCCTTCTTAACACACTACATGCTTTCACAGAGTAACCGAACAACAGAGGTCGATGTAAAGTGAAAAGAATTAATTGTACCAGAACCCACCAGGCGCCCAAGTAAAACTAACTAGCCTTTGAGCTAGTAAACCGGACTTCAAGAACCATGACCTCCCTTTATGTTAAAGCTTGCCTCTCTGCTCCTAGGAAACTTTCCAAAAGTTTCATCTCCTGGCCAGGCCCCAGCTCAACCTCACTTCAGGTCAGTAAACACCTAGTGAGATACTGTGCTGGGTGCTGGAATCAAGGCTGAGGGAACTAGCAAAGTGACATTTTAAAAACTGGGCTGCGGAGAAGAATGGAAACTTTTGGATCAAAGCCCCAGGCAATTCAAAGAACCTCTGCCTCCAAGGCATTTGTTGAAAAATATGTCCCCACGGAGCCCCTGAGGAGCCTGTCAAACTGTGTGGACTTTTAATTTCCTGAGCAGAATTTTACTTTAAGTTAAAAAAAAAAAGAGCCCAGATCTTTTCCTTCTTGGCTTATGTATCTCTCACATATGCAGGGAGAGGTGCCTTCACCAGGCTGGGGGAAGGCGGCAAGGAGAGGCTGAGGCTGGTTTGCAAAGGTTAGTCCTGGTGATCCAAGTTTGGATGGGAGATGCTGACCAAGCGCCCATGAAGAGGCAAGAAGTCAGAACATCAGTAGAGGCCACATCCATGGTGGTGACCACACTGGATATCCTCTGCTGTCTGGCTCAGCTCTGTCACCAACCAGCACGTGACAGTCAAGAGAGGAGTGAAAAATGGCACAAAGGGACTGGCCAAGCCTTTCATTTATCTCCCTGACCAACAACAAGATTCAGAAGGCCAAGCCAACGGTCTATTAATACCCTGAGATTCACATGACCGGCACAAAGCAAGATGAAAGAAAACAAGTCTTGAGTCTGCTCTGGGAAGGGCTGTCTGCTGTGCGCTGTGACTCATCGTGAGGTGGGAGGTGGGTCAGTGGGATGGGAGGGGAGCGGGCGGAGCTCTGCCTGAAATCCATCCAAAACCCAGATTCCATGTGACTACCATCTCACGAGGGCATCAGTTACAGTCTTGTCTAAAAAGGCACCAATCACAAGGCCAAGAGAATTCTCCAAGGCTATGACTATGCATTTGAGGGGAAACAAAAAAGCCTTTTGGTCTGACTAAGATGATCTTTGACAAAGGAAGAGAAAGATTCAGCTGCAACAGTCGGTCATCTGGCAGTAGAATGACATGTCATCAACCCTCTGTTTCATCCTGTGTTGAGACAAAGTCCTTCTTTTCACTGCCAGGCAGCCTTGGGGTCAGGAGAGAGAACCTGGAACAGGAGGAGACCTGGATGCTCCAGCTGGGTGACCTTTACAGCTGTCATTCATTTAGCAAGTATCTTCTGCCTGCCCGTTCTGTCCTAGTGTTGTGGTAGGTGACGCGGACAGAGACACACGATCCCTAGCCTCATGGAGTTGACCGTCTAGTCTATGGTGTAAGTCTTTTAACCTCCTGGCACCCCAATCTCTTCATTTCTAGATTGGACATTTTAAAAAAGACTGCCCACCTTACAGGGTTGTTAGGAGAATAAGTGAGATAAATATGTAAAAACTCACTGCACGTACCAGACACAAGGCATGATTATCGTAAAGTGTTATTTCTTCCCCTTTGAAACCCTCATCTCTTAGTGAAGTTTCAGGTTGCTATCAAGGGTTAACTTTTCTGTAAGGCTTTTTCTGGAAAGGGCCAGATGGTGAATATTTTAGCCTTTGTGAGCCATAAGGTCTGTGTTGCAACTACTTAACTCAGCAGTTGTAGTGCAAAAGCAGCCTGGGACAGTGTCAGTGAGGAGGTATGGCTGTGTTCCAATAAAACTTTATTTACAAAAACAGGCAGGGGGACAGTTTTGGCCCTTAGGCCATAGTATGTCAACTTCTGATACAGTATATATCATAGAGTTCAAGAGTGAGGGCTCCAGAGCCAAACTGCCTGCCTCAGTTTCCCCATCTGTAAAATATACATAATAGTACCTACTTTAGAGTTGCTCTGAAGATTAAATGTGTTCATAAAGCACTTATAACAGTGCCTGATGCTAAGAATATACTCAATAAATTATCATTCATTTTTATCATAATACAGAGAATATTACTAGGTAAAATTATTGCCAGGGAAGGCATAGTGAATTAGTAGGGTAAAGTACAGCTGGTTTAAAGACCTTTGGAATCCCTGTATTTCAGTTTTATGTCTTTTCAACCACATGCTTAGATGCTTTCAAATGGTTATACTCCTATCATTTTTATTGTTTCTGATACATTTAATAGCTCCCTATCTGTTAATAAGTTAATGTTGGTTCTATGACTTACATAATTGCATCTAACATGAAGCCTTGTTTTGCCTACAATAATGGGTGTTTACTACAGGCCAGTGAGTGTGCTAAGCACTTTACGTGTGTGATCTTGTTTAGTCTTCAACGGCAACCCAGTGAAGTGGGGTCTCCATTAGACAGAAGAGGATTCTGTGGCTCAGAGAAGTTAAGCAACTCACTTAAAGACATACCAGCAGTAGCAAGTGATGGAGCCAGGACTTGAGCCCAGATATGTCTAACAGAGAACATCTATTTTGATAGCTTAAGGACTTCAGTTTGTTGAGACTAATCAAATTTGCATCTAGGGCCAGACTTTAAAAATAGCAGCAATACCATGTATTGTGATGTTCTAGGAAACAGAGTCTGGAAATGTATCAATATTACACTGTGCTGGGTAATCGGCTTTTAATATTAAGGGAGAAATAATACCCAGAAAGGGTTAATAACACGCTTGGGATTTTTGGATGAGGCAGTTGCTTTGGGTAATTCATTGAGGTCTACTTTCCACATCAGCATAACTCTCCAGCATTGAGTGGAACTAGTGGTAAAGAGGACCGAATTTATTAATTTTATTTCTGTGTCAAGAGAGCTGTGTGCCTAGGAGAGCAGGGCTGTATCTAGCAATTTATTTACCAAGATGACTTAGCCAGTTGGATTCTCTGCCCCTAGCCACAAGAGAAAAAGCAGAGGAAAATGTCTTGCTTGAAAATGGCTGTTTGTTTTCCGCTGGGCAAATTTTAGCCCAGGTGCCAGTAATTTGTGGCTGTGTTTAAGGAGGGGGTGGTTGGGGGTGGAGGTAAGAAAGGGAAGAAGAGGGTTCTCGGCTCCTCCTGAATTCCAGGGTATCATTACCGCCGGGGGGGTGGGGTGGGGTGGGGGGGTGCTGCCTGGGTATCCGGCATGATCTGCAGTGACTAGTTGTGCAGTAACAGGAACGGTTCTGAGCTACCGGAGGAAGGGATGGTGGTCACCGCATGCTGAAACCACATCCTGCCTGTAGCTTTGGCTCATGCTGGTCATGGGCACACTGGGACGAAGAAAAATCTAGTTGCAAGCAATATCCAACAGCAAATCTCGGGGCGCATATCAACCACAGTTTGAAGTGGTGTGTGGAAGATGAATGGGCGGAGAGATTGCCCTCTTATCTCACTCTGCCCACAGAAAAAGCTGGTTTCGTCTCTTCTCTTCAGTTCACCATAGATGCCGTACTTTTAAAAGTCAATCAACTCATGTCTTTAGTCTGCCGGAAACCCTCCCACGGCTTTCCTTTGCCCTTCCGTAAAAAAAGTCCAAACTCCTTACCATGACTAGTGGGGGTCTTCCCTTATCTGGTCTCTGCTCCTTGTCCAGCTGCATCTTGCCCATTGCTTCCCCAGCTCATGGGCTCTGGCCACATAGCCCACCTTTGGTTCCCTGATCAGGCTCAGCTCACGCCCACCTCCCAGCCTTTGTCCTCGCCGCGTCCTCACATGCTGGCTCCATCCCATCCTTCAGGTCTCTGTTCA